TTAAGCTACACATACTGTACCGTGGGTATAGAAAAGAATCACCCCCTTTAAAATAGTCATTTTGTTTCTTTGCAGCCTGAAATGAAGACAGTTTTTTTTGTTTTATCCCGCTGTATTTATTCAGTGCAACTTATAGCATCCAAGTGAATGAACACCAACATGTGTCAGTATTTTGTTGAAGCACCTTTTACTTTAATTCCAGCCGTTAGTTTAGTTGGAATATGTCTCTACTAACTGTGCACATCTAGACTTTGCAATATTTGCTCACTCTTCTTTGCAGAACTGCTCAAGTTCACTTATATTTGATGGTGACAGTTTATGGACTCCAGTCTTCAAGTCATTCCACAGTTTTTCAATGGGGTTTAGGTCTGGGCTGTGGCTAGGCCATGCAAAGACATTCACCTTTTTCTTCAACCTCTGTGGTCATTTTTCCTTTGTGCTTTGGGTCATTGTCATGTTGGAAGGTAAACTTTCTTCCCATTGATATTTCCCATCCATTTTTCGTTCTATGCTGACAAGTGCTCCAGTCCCTGCTGCAAAGAAGCACCCCATAACATGTTATTTGAATAGTGAGCTGTACTGGATTTGCACAAGACACATCGTTTCGTGTTGAAGCCAAAATATTTCATTTTTAATCTCATTTGACCATAACGCCTTTTTCCATGTGGCCTCAGAATCTTCAAGGCGCGTTTGGCACAGCTCAGTCATGACTGCATGTGACCTTTCTTGAGGAGTGGCTTTTTTTTGCAACCCTCCCATACAATTCACTTTTGTGAATAATTTGTGATATTGTTGTCACACGCACACAATGGCTCTTTCATCCAGTTTGGAGCGATGTCCTGATCCATGGAGGGTCTGTGTTGTAGCAAATGCCTTCCACTTCTTAATAATAGACTTCACTGTGCTTCTAGGCATGGATACAAAAAAGTTTCAAAGGCTTTATCAATCTCCTGACTTGTGCCTGTCCACAACTTTATCCTTGAGATCTTTTGACAGTGCCTTGCCACCACCCATAGTTAATTGCTTCAGTTGCACTATCAGGTACTGAAATGCTCCAGGAAAGCTCTTTTCATGCTGAGCAGATCAAAATGATCACAGTTGAAAGTCAAATGGCTTTGTGTGCCATTGAGAAGATGATTAGCTACACATGATTGAATTTACAAGTCATTTTTAGTAGCAGGTGAAGACTGGGCAAATATTTCAAAGTTAGTAGAGACATGTCCCAACAGACGAAAGGTGGTAAAAGGTGGTTCAACAGAATAATTACACAAAGGAGTGATCCTTTTTCCATTTCATTGATTCTGTTTTTGAATATTTTTATATATTTTTTTTTTTTTAATTTTTTCCTGGCATGTTGGTGTTCTATCTTTCACTTGGATGTTATAAGTTGCACTGAATAAATACAGCTGGATAAAAAAAAAAATTCTGTCTTCATTTCAGGCTGTAAAGCAACAAAATTTAATTATTTTTTCTCCCCATTATACATGCGTGCAAGCATTAATGCAGCCTATTGTTAGGAAGCAGGCAGCACTTGCTGCCTAGTGTTCTGTATTGCAGGACTCAGATGGCTATTGCAACCTAGTATCCTTGGTTGTTAGGATGCAGGTGGCTATGGCTGGGTAGTGTCAACAGTTGCTAGGATGCAGGCAGCTATTACCACCTAGTGTCTTCCATCGCTAGGACTCGTACTGCTCTCGTACTTCCTTAGAGTTCTGTGTGCTGTACGCTTTTTTTTTTTTTTTTTTTTTTTTTTTTTTTTTTTTTTTTTTTTTGTATCCAGTAATCCTACCAAAGTACATGGTGAACGGTCTCTTATGAGGGCCTTACAGCATGAGCGTATTGTCAGCAGATCTGCTTTGTTATAGAGAATCAGACTTTGTAGGATGGCTGTACTGTGACATATCTATGCCTATGAACAGGTGCTGTTAATCCCTGGGCTTGTTTGGATCATATCATCAGAAGCCTGACTCTGGAGTAGATTTATTACTGACCTCCAAGCCAACATCCCAGCATAGTACGTCTACAGTAGACGTCAGAATCCTGTGATATTTTGTCCCTTGCATGTGTTTGTGGCGTCACATCCATGTGCACACTGTGGTTAAAGGATAAGTTCATCTTTCGTAACATGTTACGTGTTACACCGTTATTCAGACCAGCCCCCGGATCTTCTCCCCCTCGCTAGCTGTCAAATTTTTTAAAAAGTGGCCGTGTGGGGCTCCGCCCACCTGACCACGTCTCTCGTTCACATTCCTCTGTACATCCTGTACGGACAAGCAGATATACTGACAGATCTGCAGGAGACCTGCATGGCAGGAGCGATCTACTGATTGCTGCTACAATGCTTTACAGGCTCGTGCAGACAAAAATAATAAATGCACATTTTCTTTAACCTGCAAAACAAATGTGCATTTATTATTTTTTACTAAAAGGTGAACTTATCCTTTAACCCTAGATGCCGAGTGCATGCAAATATGCGGCCTCTCGGAGTCTGGGCCTTGCGTGCCATTAGAAAGTACATATTTGTGTGCCATTAGAAAAATACATATGTGCTAACAGCGCGCTCCCAGCACATATGTCCGTGACTCACAGAAAGGACCCTGTCAAACACCACCTGGCGGGGCCTCTAGCAACCCACAGCGCAAGGTTCCCCAGGGTGCGGGGTCTAAGTCCCAATCTGCTTATTCACCAGGGCCCCTGATGGTGGGGATGGACTTGGAGCAGACTGAGACCAGGTTGCGACCCCTGAGTATGTCCGGCAGTGGTAGAGAGCACCGTCAGGGGTGTGCGGGAAATTGAGCCTGACGTGAAGAGGCTGGCAGGCCTGGTAACTGGGACAGATCTGTGCGGGATGGATGGATCGTAAGGAGTAGTCAGGCAGTCCAGGTCAGCAACGTGCAGGCAGCGAGGGTACCAGAGGAGCAGGCAGAGAATGGTCAGGGTCACAAGCCAGGTTCAGCAACTAACGGGCAGCGCGGGTACAGAGGATCAGGCAGAAGAATGGTCGGGTCAAGCAGGAGACAATCAGCAGGGTCAGATTCAATGCAGAGGTCGGCAACAGGAAGCTTCACAGTATCAGAATACAGGAACAGGACAATAAGACCAAACGGCAACTTGTGTCTGTGCAGGGCTGGTTTAAATAGCCCGCCCTGCTCAGACAGGCGCCCCTGGGTCCCAGTGCCTGCCAGCGCTGTCATAGGTGACAGGTGCGCCTGGGTCCTAGTGCCCGCCTGCCTGCATGTCTTGTCGGACACCTACGCATGTGCAGACTCATGCGTCGCGGTGATCCCTGACAGACCCAATCTCCCCTTGCGATCAGGACCTTTTCCAATCATGTGACCGCCGTGACGGCGAATCACAGCGGTCATATGACCCTAAAACTCTGCCCGCCTCATGGTTCCTGAAACTTAAAGGGCCAGGAGGTGCCGGCGCAAAGGTGTTAAAGTGCCTGAAATGCGTTGCCCAATAACCAATCCATCTGTAATCTCCGTGCGTTCCAAATTAGAGATCGATAAATCCTGGGAGCCAGATAGCCAAAGAAATACTGGGGACATTTGTGTTGGAGGCTCTTGTCTCCTGAACTAGCCAAATTTTGACTCATCTATGGGCAGGCTGGTTGTGCTGAAGTCAATCTATCGATCCACTTCAGTACAACCAACCTGGTTTATTTTTTTTGGTATGATTACTGCTGCTGGCTATAGCTGTCAGCAATGATCATTGTATTCTGACAGTGGGGAAACCTGCTGTCAGAATACAATAGCGGGATGGATTCCCCCATCAACACTTGACAGTTGCTAGGTGAATCGAGTGATTTTTTTTTTTTTTTTTTTTTTTTTTTTCAACCCATGGTTGAAGGAAAAAAAAAAAATTGCAAAATGTATGGCCAGCCTAAAGCTTATGTAAATATATTTTACTTGTTTGGATTGCACTTTAAATACAAGTCTTCCGATACCCATCTACATTGATGGTATAGTGTGGATGACTGTTCTATATCTGTATTTGACCAGTTTTGTTTGGAGCGATGTCCTGATCCAGGGAGGGTCTGTGTTGTACCAAATACCTTACACTGCTTAATAATAGACTTCAGTGTGTTTCTAGGCATTGGTAAAGTCTTTTAAATGTTTTTACAAGTCATTTACAGAAGGGAGGTGATCCATTTTCCTACTCAGCGATTCTTTTTTTTCTTTTTTTTTTTCTGACGTGTTGGTGTTCTATCTTTCACTTGGATGTTATAAGTTGCACTGAGTAAATACAACTAGATGAAACAAAAACTGTGTCTGTCTTCATTTTAGGCTCCAAAGGAACAAAATGTGATTATATTAAAAGGGGGTGATTCTTTCCTATACCCGCTGTATCTGTGGCTACTTTTTCCATTTTGTTTAGTCATATAGATCAAAAGGTGTGTGTGTGTGTGTGTGTGTGTGTGTGTGTGTGTGTGTGTGTGTGTGTGTTTTTAGGGCCAAACATTGTCACAACGGAGCAGGTCACATGCGCCCTCATACCTGGAATTGGCAGGTAGTGTCATGCGCCGCAATGGAGCGGGAGCACAGACAAGGTTTGTGAAAGGTGGTTAGGGGTTCCGAAAAGGGAACATTTTGGGCTTCTTTTTTGTTTTTGTTACGGTCATGTCATTTTACTTGTCTTATATCAGTGTAAGTGCAGCAGTTTTTTTTTGTTTGTTTTTTTTATATGTTTTTGGCCTTTTTTTGTTTGTTTTTTTTTTTTAAATAGAAATAAAAAACACACTACTTATTCACTACCAGCAAAGGAAAGCTCAGCCTCAAAAACAAACTGTTATAAAATTAATTTGGATACAGCGCTGCATGACCAAATGATTCTCAAACTGACAGATGGCTGGGACAGGAAGGGTGTTTACAGGCTATTACTGAAGTGGTTATATGTAGGCAAAGCATAGGTTCATTGTAAATTGACCACTGTACAGCCTCTCGGAATTCTTCATGTAGTTTTCATTCTCATTCAAAACATTCTCTTTTCCATTTCAGGTTTAACGCAATCATGTTCCTGATTAATCAGTTTATGGGTGGCGGTGGTGGTGGTGGCGGCGGGGGATTCGGCGGCGGGGGATTCGGCGGCGGAGGATTCGGCGGCGGAGGAGGAATGTTTGGAGGCATTATGAATGCACTCAGGTAAGACTTTGTGTTTTATATGTTGTTTTTTTTGAGTGTTTTGTAGAGGAATCGCTTCATTGTTATTGTTGGTGTATTGTAGATCATGGAGCAGTATCACTAATGGGAATACATTTATAAGGATATTGGGATTCACTGACAGGTGTACCTTTTAATATGACTTAATACCCTAACCTAAACCCACAAATGTAACATTTATGCGCCTAATAGTACTCCTAACCCTGAAACCTGAACATTTATCATGACTGCAACAGATAAAGGAAGTCCAAACGTAATCCGCCCAATGTCCACACTATTCAATCTTCCAATCGTGATAAGATGTCCAATTTGTTATTCCAAATCCAAGAAACCTCAAAAATATAAACTAAATATAGTGCATTACCTCTCAAACAATATTCTGTGATACCATGCAAACACTCGTGAAAAAACCAAAAAAAAAAAAATTACAAAATTCTATGTGATTATCCAATACAAATAAATAAATAAAGTGGATAGAGAAGGTCGCCCTATACACCCCCACTCGTGAAGTGGATATAGTTCACAGCAACTGGACTAGTGGTAATCCACAGTATTTGAAGATATCATCACTCTAACCAGGTGAAATTAACAAAAAAACACTCAAACTGTGATTAGTGCACCATTCCAAACAAGTGCCACCACCCTAGTGGGATAACATACTATTACCCTCTTGCAGCTTTAAAAAAGCATTTCCAACATTCCAGGATACCAAGAGTATATCCAATATGCACCTTTCCCCTTGTGAATCAATTCAGTGGAGTCTTCCCTGCTCCTCATAAGGCAAAGAGGACAAGAATAAGTGGAGTATATAAGTTAAACACAGATTTTTATTAACTGCTTACATTGACAGCCTGTCCATCCTGTTCCATCAGTTCAAACAGACAAATTCCCACAACAAATATGGCGGCGTTGGTCCTTCCGGTTATGCGTCCTGACGTCACGACCTTGACGCGTTTCGTCACTTCCGACTTTTTCCAACTCAAGGGATCCCTTGAGAAAAAGTCGGATGTAAGCAGTTAATAAAAATCTGTGTTTAACTTATATCCTCCACTTTTTTTTTTTTTTTTTTTTTTTGGGGGGCAGGGAGCGGGTACTTAGTTTTGGCAGGTACCTGCTCCCACTTCTGCTGGAATCACATAGGCGATTCCACCAGAAGTTGTCCACCCTTCATTTCAAGAGCTGTGTTCCCAAAGAGAGCATTCCGCTTCCTCCACCAAATTGCCAGCCCAAACTTTCCCCTCCTGTGTAGACCTCTAATGTTATAGGAGGTCTAACAGCATAATAATGCCAAAAGCAATTTTCCATCTTTGTATTCAGGCATCCTGTACATCAAGGGTTAAAGTAGAATCCTCACATGACTCCAATTGTACATACAACAAACAAATGCCACAATGCCCTTGCTTTTAGGTTCATTTGCTATTTTTTTTTTTTTGTTTTCTTTTTAGCGATGCTGCTTCAAACTACAGACCAGATCCTCCGGTAAGTTTTTTTTTTTTTTTTTTTTTTTCTTCCTAATCTTGTCTTTAAGCTTTTCAAAGCGTGGGAAATTTGTATTTTATGCTGCGATTTGTGAATGGTCCTGAAGCCTCCTGAGACCTGTTTGTGTCCCAGATGGCTGCGGGAGAGGGGGGGAGCCGAACGTCTGCTCCAATCACGAGACTATCCATGTAGAAGTGGGAGAGTGTACCTATCAAAACTAGGTATCCACATCCCCTAAAAAGATAAAATGGTCCAAAAGTGGTAGAGGAGGGAGGAGGCAGAAAAGCAAAACTTCCTCTTTTGGTTGAAGTTCTGCTTTAATTCATTTTATGTGGTAAAGGTACTGGTGGGAGAATAGAACAGACTGAGCGTTGACCTCCTAAGTTTGCTGTTTCTTTGTAACTGTCCAGTCCTCAGACTGGGGATGGGGAGGTGACCCCGCTGTGTTGTTTAACCGTAACAGAAAGTGGGGTCGTCTGCCTGATTGTGCTGTGTGGCACAGCTGTATTAATTTTAGGCCTGGATGGACAGACCTATACAGGTGTAACTTGAAAAATTAGAATATCATGCAAAAGTTCTTTTATTTCAGTAATGCAACTTAAAAGGTGAAACTAATATATGAGATAGACTCATTACATGCAAAGCAAGATAGTTCAAGCCGTGATTTGTCATAATTGTGATGATTATGGCTTACAGCTCATGAAAACCCCAAATCCACAATCCGCATAGAGAATCTATGGGGCATTGCTAAGAGAAAGATGACAGACATGAGACCGAACAATGCAGAAGAGCTGAAGGCCGCTATTGAAGCATCCTGGTCTTCCATAACACCTCAGCAGTGCCACAGGCTGATAGCTTCCATGCCACACCGCATTGAGGCAGCAATTGCTGCAAAAGGGGCCCAAACCAAGTACTGAGTACATATGCATTCTTATACTTTTCAGAGGTCCCATATTGTTCTATGTACAATCCTTGTTTTATTGATTGCATGTAATATTCTAATTTTCTGAGATTGTGGATTGGGGGTTTTCATGAGCTGTAAGCCATAATCATCACAATGATGACAAATCACGGCTTGAACTATCTTGCTTTGCATGTAATGAGTCTATCTCATATATTAGTTTCACCTTTTAAGTTGCATTACTGAAATAAATGAACTTTTGCACAATATTCTAATTTTTCGAGTTTCACCTGTATATTCTTTGGCAGGTAAAACAGCTCCCAACTATGTATTTGCTCTTTGTATTCAGCTGTTTGCTTAGAGTTCAGCTTTACATCTGTCCCAAGTCTACAAATGCTCTAGTTCTTTTGAATGGCCTAAGGGTGTTACGCTACTGATCCCCTCCCCATCCACCCATCTGCTCGCCTTTTTCATGATACTTCTCACATGCTGGAACAATGCAGATCTTTTACTTGGCAGCAAAACTCATTCTGTTTATTAGGCTTCATACCATATATACATTGAAAGCCACGTCAGCCTCTAGCTGTTTCACACACACTGCATGCTTCTTGACATTTCAGGTTTGATGTGGTTAGGTTTCTGTATTGACATACATTTTGGTTTCTCTTTTCACATGCAAGCCATGCCTAGGTCGTACATGTTTCTAAATTGCCATTACAAGTACTAGTGTATATTCTTTCTGTGTGCTATCCTGAATGAAGACTAAATGAAGTAATACACATCAACTCACCGATGGCATTTATGACGTGTGACTTTTTTTTTTTTTTTGTGTGTGTGTTTTTTGATGCGTTCAAAAAGCATACTGAAAGCTTATTAAACACCCATGAAAGTGTTTTTCTAGGGCAGGGGTCTCCATTCTTTCAAAGAAAGGGCCAGTTTACTGTCCTTTGGACTTTGGGGGGGGGCCCAGATTGTGGCCCGTGAGGGTATCGGTGAGAATAATAAAGCCTTAGGTTTGGTGTTGATAGTTGGAGAAATGGTGCCCCATCGTTGGTATTAGTGGGATGAGTAGTACCCCATCACTGGTATCAGTGTAAGAAACTGTGCCCCATTGTTGGTGTCAGTGGGAAGAATACTGCCCCATCATTGATATTAGTAGGAAGAATAATGCCCCATCATTCGTGTCAGTGGCCGGACTTATACCCCACTGTTGGTGCCAGAGGAAGAAACCGTGCCCCAGTGGAAGGAATTTTGCCCCATAATTGCTAGTAGTGGGAAGAATTATGCCCGATTATTGGTGTCAGTGGCAGGAATTCTGCCCCACTGTTGGTGTCAGTGGGAGGAAGAGTGTCCCAAGGGTCAGACAAAGGCTAGCACAGGGCCGCAGTTTGAAGACCAGTGTTCTAGGGGGAAGTGCTGCAAGGTGAAGCGATAAAGAGAAAATGAGCTGCTTTGCGGCATTGTTAGGTTGTGGTGTGATTGACATTTTTGTGAATTCTCTACAAGATGGGTTCTTCGTTTTTTGACAATTGGCTTGGCCCAATTGTGCAGTTGTAGCGCATTGAAATGAGAAGAGATGGCTGATATGCATCAATGTCTCCTGAAAGCGACATGCTGCCTAAGTTTTAACACTCCTGCTCCTGTGTGTACTGCACTGTGTGGTGCCAGAGTTTTGGTGAAGGTGGAAGGGAAAGGCAATCCATACAAGGCATTCTCTGGACAAGGTGGAGAGGCAGGGCAGTAACCTCATAATGTCATCCTCATGAAGTCAGAGAACACTTTCCATTTATTTATTTTATTTATTTCAGGTACTTATATAGCGCGATCAATTTACGCAGAGCTTTACATATATATTGTACATTCACATCAGTCCCTAACCTTCATTCATACATACACATACTAGGGTCAGTTTAGACAGGATCCAATTAACCGACCAGCATGTCTTTGGAGTGTGGGAGGAAACCGGAGTACCCACAGGAAACCCACGCAGGCACAGGGAGAACATGCAAACTCCAGGCAGGTGGTGCCGTGGTTGGGATTCGAACCATCGACCCTAGTACTGCCAGGTGGAAGTGCTAACCATTTAGCCACTGTGCTGCCCCATTTGTTGAATAATGCAAAGTTTTCCCATCCACATCTCTTCTATTGATGCAGGGATCTGTCAGATTTTTTTAAATGTGTTTATTTTTTTTATTTTTTTTTTTAAAGTAAATAAAAAACCTGTTTGTCAAAACTTTAAACTTGTCCCATGTCCATTTCTTTCATTATCTCGGAGTGACCTCTCCCTGTTCTTATCTTGGACCACAGGTCAATTTAGTCTTTGTGCTGTGGATCAGGCCTAATCCACACTGGGCGTTTAACTCCAGTACACAAGATCCTACAGTTTTTGTGAACGTGGAAGGCAAAGGCGCATCATCCAACCCCACTGCTGGCAGCAGGTTTAACTCTGCGTGGCTGATAGCTGCTGCAGCTCGATGGTGTACTGTGCAGTACTAATGCTTAAGGCAGCCATGCATAGACTGAGGCTCCATGCACACTGGCGTAATTGCCAGTGCTCTTGACTGTTTAGCAGCGTTTTTTTAATTATGTGTTTTTTTTTTTTTTTTATTAAACACTAAGCTTAAAAAACACCTCTAGACTACCTAATGTGCATGGATAACATTAGTTCCTTCTACAAAATGCAAAACTCTTAAAGATGTAGTGATTTTAAACCAACGTGCATGGCACTTTAAAGTATTGAAGCAAAACACTGCCAAGCAGTTAGCATAATCAAGAGTGACAACATTGGCAGCCCCCATTCTTTTCTCATGACTTGAGTCCCTTTACCTCCTGACCCAACACAGAGGTTTTATAGCGAAAAGGTCTCTCCAAATATGTTGTAAAAATTTGAAGGTGAAATCTGTATTTTTTTAAAAAATGGTGATACAGAGCTCTTGTAGGTGCAGTTACATAGTTAGTATGGCTGAAAAAAGAAAAACGTCCATCCAGTTCAACCATAAAAAAAAAAAAGTTATAATCCTATACCCAAAGTTGATCCAGAGGAAGGCAAAAAAAAAAAAAAAAAATAGGAACCCAGCAACACACGATCCAATTTGCTCCTGCTGGGAAAAGAATTCCTGATTTCCCCCCCCCCCCCCCCGAGAGGCAATCGGATATTCCCTGGATCAACTTTACCTATAAATGTTAGTATCCAGTTATATTCTGTGTATCTAGGAAATAATCCAGGCCTTTTTTGAAGCAATCCACTGAGCTGGCCAGAACCAACTCTTGAGGGAGTCTATTCCACATTTTCACAGCTCTCACTGTGAAGAAACCTTTCCGTGTTTGGAGATTAAATTTCTTTTCCTCCAGACATAAAGCATGCCCCCTTGTCCTCTGTGATGAGCTCAGGGTGAATAGCTCTACACCGAGTTCACTATATGAACCACTGATGTATTTATACAAGTTGATCATATCCCCCCTTATGTATTATACATAGAGATCATATCCCCCCTTAATCTCCTTCTCAAGAGAGAATAAATTCAGTTCCTCTAATCTTTCCTCATAGCTGAGCTCCTCCATGTCTATTATCAGTTTGTTGCCCTTCTCTGTACTTTCTCCAGTTCCCCAATGTTCTTTTTGTGAATTGGTGCCCAAAACTGAACTGCATATTCCAGATGAGGTCTTACTTATGATTTGTACCGGGGTAATATGATATCTCTCTCTCTGGAGTCTATACCTCTTTTAATACAAGAGAGGATTTTGAAACCTCAGCTTGGCATTGCATGCCATTATTAAGCTTGTGATCTACCAGAACCCCCAGATCCTTCTCCACCATTGATTCCCCCAGTTGTACCCCCCCTAGTATGTATGATGCATGCATGTTCTTAGCCCCCAAGTGCAGAACCTTACATTTATCAACATTTAAATTTCATTTGCCCCATAGTTGCCTAATTAAACAGTGCATTGAGGTTGGCTTGTAAATTGGAGACATCCTGTAAGGACGTTATTCCACGGCACAGCTTGGTGTCATCTGCAAAGACTGAAATGGGATTTTTAATCTCAGACCCTATATCGTTTATAAATATATTAAAAAGTAAGGGTCCCAACACTGAACCTTGGAGTACATCACTGACACCCCTAGACCATTCAGAGTATGAATCATTAACCACTACTCTCTGAATACGATCTTTTAGCCAGTTTTCTATCCATTTACATACAGATTTTTCCAAGCCTGTAGACTTTACCTTACACATTAGCCGTGTGTGGGGAACTGTGTCAAACGCTTTTGCAAAATCCAAGTATACCACGTCCGCCGCCACCCCTCTGTCCAAGGTTTTGCTCACCTCCTCATAAAAAGAAATCAGATTTGTTTGACAACTTCTGTCTTTCATGAATCCATGTTGTCTGTTGCTTAAAATATTTTTTTCCAGCAAGAACTCATCTATGTGGTCTTTTATTAAACTCTCCAGTATCTTCCCAACTATAGAAGTTAAACTAAGAGATCTATAATTACTTGGTAAAGATTTTGGCCTCTTTTTAAATATTGGCACCACATCGGCCTTACGCCAATCCAGTGGTACTATGCCAGGCATTAAAGAGTCCCTAAAAATTAGAAACAATGGCTTTGAAATGACAGAGCTGAATTCTGTAAGGATCCGTGGGTGTATGCCATCCGGTCCAGGTGCTTTGTTCACCTTTTTATACTACCTATTTTTGGATCATATCAATTGTGAGCCAATATGGATCATCTGGAGCTGTGTCAATACCATGCCCATTATGGACAAGAGCTCCCCCATGCTCCTTTGTATACACAAAGCTAAAGTGCAATTAAACTGCAGAAGTGTGAATGAGCTCTGAGACTTGAGCCCCTTGGGGCTGTGGGGGGTTTATGGCCCCCTGTTAGAACATAATAGTTCAGTGGAGAGGTTGCTGTACTAAAATCAGATACAACAAGCTCTTCAGTTTTTTTAAGTTTAACCCGCTGGGTTGAGCAAAAAAAAAAAAAAAGATAGTGTGTACCCAGCATTAAAGTGGAGCGGAACTCTGGAAGAGGTGCCAGAAAATAAAGCAGGTAGAGGGCAAAGGACCAGTATTGCCTGTCATCTCTCTGCAGCTAATATTTTTCCTATTTTTAACTTACCATGCCTTCTTCTGCATGGTGTCTCTTTTGTGGAGGCGGCCATCCTGGTAGAGGTAGAGCTTTGTTTCCTCATGTCAGAGCCTCATCAAGGAGAACAGTGAGCAGCACAGTAGTGACATCACATCTCACTCCACTTCTGAAACTGGTAGTCAGAGGCAGCAATGCCTTTGATCTCTCACTACAGATGTACAGCTATGAGGCTGTAAGCACAGAAGTGCCTAGGCACACTCACACGCCAGGAAGGGCTTTTATTATTTTTCAGGAGACATTCCAGACAGAAGTTGCATTTTTCTGGATGCTGGTTGGCACAATTAAAGGTTTCCTGTTATAACAGATTTTCAGTTTTTCAGTTCAGGTCCACTTTTTTTCAGTCTGTCGCAATATTTGCAAAAGTATGCCATAGTGTTTGTAAGTCACATTTCTGCAGTGCTTGTCTTTTAATCACATCGCCATCTAACCCTACCCACTCTCTCTTAGCCTCCCAGAACCCATCCTTCAGTCATTCAGGCAAATGAGAATGATGAAGATCGACAGTTCCGGAGGGTCTTCAATCAGCTGGCTGGAGATGTAAGTACACAGGCTCTCCTTTCTGCTCCTTGTGACTCAGTACCTGGCAGACATGCTGTTGTCTCAGGGAGGGTTTTCTGGTTGACTTGGAATGTTTGCTTGCTGTGTCACTGACTCTTGTGTTCTTACAGGACATGGAAGTGAGCCCAACAGAGTTGATGGGAATCCTCAACAAAATAATTGCAAAACGTAAGTGTGACAATGTAGTTTTGCACATACATTCCAAGCCAGGAGTTCACTTAAATTCCGGCTACACATAACCCCCTCTCCTTCACTTTATTTATCTGCTCTGTTTGGCCATTGGGGGCAAGGGAGAGTTGGTTCTGTGTACGTTCCAAACCCCGACTTGGAGCTTACACAAGGCTGATAATTCTCTCCCTTCCTCTGTGATAGTCATGTGCCTCAGCAGCCAATGACCAAACACCAGCACTTTCACGTGGGAGTGAGAAACGTTGTTCCATATTCTTCACTCCTGGCAGGGGAGGGGTGGGGGGAGTAAAAAAGAAACTACGGTCTCTGAACCCCCTCCGGCGGAAAGAGATAATCCAGCCCCCTTCCTACGTTCCCCTACAAAATCCCCATTGTCCCCTTCCCTGCCAGAACAGTTCTACACATTCCCCTCCCCTCCCCTTTTTTTTTTTTTTTTTTTTTTTTTTTTTTTGTCTTTCTTCTCTCTCTTTCTCCCTCTCTTTCTCTCTTTCTCCCTCTCTTCTCTCTTTTCTCCCCCCTCCTTCTCTCTTTTCTCCCCCTCCTTCCTTCTCTCTTTTCTCCCCCCCTCCTTCTCTCTTTTCTCCCCCCCTCCTCCTTCTCTCTTTTCTCCCCCCTCCTTCTCTCTTTTCTCCCCCCTCCTTCTCTCTTTTCTCCCCCCTCCTTCTCTCTTTTTCTTCCCCCCTCCTTCTCTCTTTTCTCCCCCCCCCTCCTTTCTCTCTTTTCCCCCCTCCTTCTCTCTTTCTCTCCCCCTCCTTCTCTCTTTTCTCCCCCCTCCTTCTCTCTTTTCTCCCCCCTCCTTCTCTCTTTCTCTCTTTTTCTCTTTTCCTCCCATCTCATTACACTCTCCCCCACTATGTACTAAGTTTTGTTTTTACTTTTTATCCTAATAGTCACTCAACTGTTACTCGTGCATACATTACTCTTTCTCACTCACAACAAATAACCTCATCATATGACGCCCATAATATAGCCCAACACTTCACACACCCACATTGTTGCCATGTTTGCCTCCATGTGGGCACTTACTATATTATACCACGACTAAAACATACTGTAGGGCACTAGTCTACTCACCCTTACCTATCCTCTACCCACCTAATGGAGCTTGTCCAACGGCTATGGAAGGCAAGAAATTGTGAGATTACTCACCGTACTTTTAACTTTTCAATGACTCCTTTATCTCCAAAGTCCATATGGAAAAGTGTTTTTTTTTTTTTTTTTTTTTTTTTTTTTCACATTTCCTAATTGAGTCCTACTGCATGCATCTGGTATACTTAAAATCCTCAGTTCATTGTGACTTTTATATTCTGTTTGTGTATGATACAACTAGCTGTACAATCAGATTGCTTGTCAACTACTTTTTGGTATCTGAATAAACTTTTAAGGAATAAAAAAAAACAAACAAAAAAAAAAAAAAGAATGAGTATGTGGTGCTGCATGGGATGGCAATAAATTGAATCTAGAGCTTTGCCATACATGGGCACAGCACAGGTTCACTTAAAGTGGTTCTAGAGCCTCAATGTTTTTATTTTGCTTTAATGCATTCTCTGCAGTAAGGTTTAAAAAACCTTCTGTGTCCAGGATCCCCCTATCCCCACCCTTTTACTTATCTGAGCCTGATCTTAATCCAGTGTTGTGCCTGAGAGCAGTGGCTAACAGAGGGAGCCATTGGCTCCTGAAGCTGTCAGTCTTATTCTATGACAAGGGAGCTGGGGGGAAGTAGGGGCTGAGCCCCGCTGTCTGGGTCTATAGATCCAGTCTCAAGCCGCACGGCTTGAGAGCGAGCTTCTTATGGGGGCACTTACTGAAGAGGAGCAGCCAGGGGACCCCAAAAGAGGAGGATCAAGGCTGCTCTGTGCAAAACCATTTCACAGTACAGGGGAGAATGACATGTTTATTATTTTAAAAATATAGGGTTGTCTGTATAATGTTTCTAAAAATTCTTAATAAATATATTGAAATATAAAAAAAATATAGGGTTTACAATCACTTTAAGTCAACCTTTCCCAAACCTTGGCAATTCAAACTTAAAGCAGAACTAAATGCAAAAAAAAAAAATTGCTAACCGGCAGCTGTTTATTGCAGAAGAGATGTGCAATGTCTTTTCTGCAATAAAATACCTGCCTGTTTGGAATCTTCTGAGATATTAAATGGGACTGTGCATGCGCAGCTCTGTTTTTACATATCCGGCACAGTGCCAGTCTTCTGAGATGAAAAACTCCTGTATCCAAAGAAACTGGTGAGAGGATGACAGCAAGGGACCCTACAGGTGTCAGACATTTTGGATAGGGGAGTATTATTTCCTTTTAGTTTCACTTGAGCACAATTTAAAAAAAATTCATAAGCGGAGGTAACTGGTCAGTGAGGATGCCCATCAAAATAAAGTACCAATAGGGAGGCTGAGAAGGTATAAGATGGTGGGGAAAGCTCTGACTTTTAAAGGAAAGGTCTAGATCACACTTTCAAGCCAGTTACACCACTGTACACCAACCCTAACTGAAACATGCATAGTCGCTACAATGTACAAACTTCTTGATACCAAATCTAAAACATCCTCTGTATGACACCATGCTTTGGAAATAGCAAAGGAAGGTAGTTGATATTTTTTTTGTTTTTTTGAAGGTGCATGCTGTAGGGCCACCATCTAGAGCATAAAATCAACAGTGAAGAAAAAAAAAAAATACTGCACTACATAAAAAAAATTGCACAATACCTATAAATCAAAAAAATTGGAAAAAATGAAAACATTTTAATCAAATATATAAAATAAAATATGAAAAACAAAAATCACACAAACAAAAAAAAAAAAAATATTATTGAATCAACCGAAAAGTCATTATAAACTCAAGTCCAATCAAAATAGTGGTCTTCTGTAAACCCTCCTGTGGAGAACAAAAAATAGGTGCTGCTGTCACAAATTCCAGTGAGAAAACATCCTCCACCATATATCTGCTCACCTCGCGCAGTGTGACCTCACATTATACAATGGTACAGTCTAACTGCACTTTTGGTCCCAATTAGACTCAAGATCAGCTTGCTGAATGAGGACTCCAAAGTATGCTCCCTCCTGGTAAACGTCTTGGTGTCAGCCATATTCCTCATTAAAAAGAACTCAACATTGTGATTTTATACTTTTTATACTTTTAATAAGCAATAAAACATAAATGCACTCACATTCTCAAGGTGCATATCTGCACCACGTATGATGAACACCTGGCAATGTACAGATTGAGCACAAAATGGTAGTATCACCTAAACAGAAGAGTCCTGTAAAGGCTCACAAAAACCTTGATGAAGTCATGTGAGTAGTGACGAAACGCATCGGGGAAGAGCATGCGGATGACGTTTCAATGTTTTCATTAATCGGGACAGCGGTTATAGTATTCGTGAAACTGCTCCAGGAATGGCATCATAGCAGGCAATTGCATTCACAGAGAGGGCCCGTGCTTTGCCTTGCAATACATTCCGTATGGTGATGGTTTTTTTGAGCCTTTACAGTACTCTGCTGTTTAGATGATACTGCCATCTTGTGCTCAATCAGTACATTGCCGGATGTTCATCATATGTGGTGCAGATATGCACCTTGAGAACGCGAGTGCATTTCTTATGTTTTATTGTTTAAGAAAAGTATAAAAGGATGAAGCACCATGTTGAGCTCTTTTTAATGAGGAATACGGCTGACACCAAGACGTTTACCAGGAGGGAACATACTTTGGAGTCCTCATTCAGCAAGCTGATCTTCTGAGTCCAATTGGGACCAAAAGTGCAGTTAGACCATAACATTGTATAATGTGAGGTCACACTGCATGAGGTGAGCGGATATATGGTGGAGGATGGTTTCTCACTGGAATTTGTGAGAGCTGCACATATTTTTCCTTATGCACAGGAGGGTTTACAGAAGAATACTATTTTGATTAGACTTGAGTTTATAATGACTTTTCGGTTGATTCAATAATTTTTTTTTGTTTTTCATATTTTATACTATATATTTAATTTTTTTTTTTTTCATTTTTTATAATGTTTTTAGATTTATAGGTATTGTGCCATTTTTGTTATGTAGTGCAGCATTTTTTTCTCTTCACTTTTGATTTTATCATTTGCCCCACCAAGACATGGGTTGAGTGCACTAGTGGCCACAGTATTTATATATTACTGATATATATATTTTTTGTTGCTTTTTATTCACCATAGTAAGCGCTTGAGTTATTTAATTTTATATTGATGCACCATAGAGCATGCTTTGCTGTGTAGCCATTGATGTTGGTGCTAGGTGCTGTAATTCTTTCTTCATAGGTTGGACAATTCTCTTTGGCTTACCATCCTTGCATCATGAAAGACATTTATTGAATTGTTGATGCTGCAGATCACCAATGTTTTGGGGTAACACAGGACCCCTTTTCATGGCAAAGTAAACATTTGCCTTTGTCAATACAGTATGCAGGGATTAGAACTTTTAGGTTTTTTATTTCTGTGATAACTGCTACCCTTATTTCTTGACCTGCTGTCACAAGGACAGAAAGTGACATAAAGTTTTTATTTGCTGGATGTCTCTTGGGAATTTCAAGTGTGCAATTTGTTCCCCTATGTTTATCTTGATGTTCATTTGGGTTTCAAAATCTGGTCAGCATAGGTAGCTCCTGTCTTTGTCCACCCAAGTACTTTTTGTATGGTTTTGGGTGGTTGTTCCATTTGACTTCACTACCTCATAAATATTTAAATTTGTATGTAAAATCTATGTAAAGCCATAGACTGTAGGGTTGATTTACCAAAACTGAAAAGTGCAAAATCTGGTGCAGCTGTGCATGGTTACCAATTCGCTTCTAACTTCAGTTCAAATAAGTTTTGACAACAAAACCTGGAAGCTGATTGGTTTCTATGCAGAGCTGTGCCAGATTTTGCACTCTCTGGTTTTAGTAACCCAACCCCTATGTATTGTCTATGTATAGCCAAAATGTTTTATTTTAGCTTTGAATGGAGTAGGACGGGTTAAAACCTGCTGTCTGCATTATGTTGGGAAGATTTTCTTCAATTCCTGTCCAAGAGACCAAACATGGAAGTAAGAAGTCGTCTCTACAAAAAGAAGGTAATTCCCTCTTAGATAGTTGCCATCAGAACAGTTCTGTCCATTGGAAGATTTTTTTGTTCTCCTGTTCTGGTGACCAATTTTGGTTTTCCCGTAACATTTTTTTTGTTTCTGCAACAGTGGTCATCAGGACAAATGGAAGAATGAATCTCCCTAGCGGGGACAGCAATAAAAGCTGGACAGTGTTTCTAATCCTTCCCTACACCCTTCAAAATTAAGAAACATTTTTTGGCTCTACATACACTTAAATAAAGGCAGTCTCTATAGACTTTATACTGTATTTGAATACTCTACAGCATGAGGGTGACGGACATTCTTGTAAAGTGAGTTGCTGTAATAAAATAACAGCCCTAATGTGCTTTTTCCTCTCTACATTTTTTTTTTCTAGATGCTGATCTGAAGACAGACGGATTCAGCCTGGACTCGTGTCGCAGCATGGTGGCTGTAATGGATGTATCCTTCGAGGATTAGTGCGCACAGCTGGGCCAGGTGTTCCTTTTAGCAACCACTTGTTACCAAGGTCACAGCTGGCCTTTTCTCACAAAAAGGGAACAAAACTATCTGGGACCATCTGGGCTGCCTCTTTGTCACCAATCAGGTCCTTTTATTTTTATTCTCCCAGAGGAAGAACCTGGCCTGGTGTGAGACAAAGCAGAGAGCACTCTTCTGCAAACACCATGATAAATGAGACCCGATTTCATTGTTAAAAGTTAGCGAAGTTATTTTTGGTGTAACTCCGGCTTTCTGACAAGATCTACAATTTAAAGAATAACCCTGAAGCATTCAGATTTGTATTGTACTAGCTTGTGATTGTTATTTATTGCAGACAGTTACTGTATATACTGTCGTCAGTTAACCCCTTGCCCTCCAGAGGATTTACCCCCCTTCCTGACCAGGCCATTTTTTGCAATACGGCGCTGCATTACTTTAACTGACAATTGCGCGGTCATTCAATGCTGCACTCTAGTGAAATTTGCATCTTTTCTTCCCACAAATTGAGTTTTCTTTTGGTGGTATTTGATCACCTGTGTGTTTTTTTTTTTTTGTTTTGTTTTTGTTTTTGTTTGTTTTTTTTTTTTTTGCTATAAGCAAAAAAATACCAACAATTTTGAAAAAAACACAAAAACTATATTTTTGACTTTTTTGCTATAAAACATGTCCAGTAAAAAAAATTTTTAAAAATCAAATTTCGTCATAAATTTAGGCCAAAATGTATTCTGCTACATATCTTTGCTAAAAACAAAATCCCAATATGTGTAAATTAAATGGTTTACGTGAAAGTTATAGCATTTACAAATGGTGGTCTAGATACTGGAATTTTTTTTTTTTTTTTTTTTTTTACTGTCAGTGACTTATAGCGGGACTGCGGCGGGCATTCTGACACTGGGGGGAACTGACTTGGTGTCACTGACATTCCCAGTAACACCAATACAGTGATTAGTGTTAATAAAAAGCACTGACACTGTACTAATGACACTGGGCAGGAAGGGGTTAACATCTGGGGCAATCAAAGGGTTAACTGTGTGCTGTTTTACTATGTGGGCTGTGTGTGCTTTACACTGTAAGCACACTGCTTTGTATGGCTCTGCTATTTGTTTACATACAGGTCTTTCCCCGGTCAGTGATACTTGGACATCGCCGGGTGCTGGTGGGGAATCCGGATCTGGTAATTGACAGCCGAGGCCCCGAATGGCGGTACGGGTAGGGCGCATGTGCGCCCCCTGCCTGGAACTGCAAAATCACATATATTTATGGGATTTTGCGCACCCTTGCCGCTCTGTAGAAGTATTTCTGCTATAGGGTGGCGCGGAAGCAGTCTAATGTTGGCCATGCATGCTTTGATAAATTAAAAAAAAATCTTCTCCAATCTCTCCCCATAACAATAATCAATCTACAATCGACAACCCAAACAATCGATATGCCTTACACGGGGAAGTGGATTTTGATACAGTCATAAATTGCCGATCATAAATAAAATCACCCGGCTCAACACTACAAACATACGTTACCCCAGTATTAATATTACTACAATGTGCAATATCACTGCAGCCTTCATTCAATATACCCAAAATATGCAACACAATAACAATAAGAAAGGTGCTGCGAACCTAAAATATGCAATATATAAAATAAACACCACTGTGAAAGTGCAAGTTTCTTTTGGGCTTTCACAGTGGTGTTTATTTTATATAACGCATGTTATGTTCACAGCGCCTTTCTTATTGTGTTACTTATTTTGGGTATATTACATTGACGGCTGCAGTGATATTAAACACTGTATAAATTACCAATCGCATATGTTTTCACCCTATAATCTCATAATCTTATCACGATCGGTTTCATGACCAAAGCATCTCATTGCTAACGATGGATGCAAAATGATCATTCATTTTTGGGGCTTGAGAAAGGAAGAAGCACCCCCGAAACATGTTGTTTAGGTATTCCTCATTCACTGTCAGAGGAAGTGTTGGACAAGTCTGGATGCTGTTTGATCTTGGATTTAAAGGCACATACATACAGTAGTGACAATTTCTGGGTTGAAATCTACCTTCTGCCTACTTCATCTGAGCCTAGGTTATCATGGACTGTCCCTCCCTGGGGTGATATGTCATCATGCAACCTGAGTTCTGGACTGCTGCGCAAAATGGCGCTTGCTAGTTACAAGTGCTGTTCTGTGCAGAAGTAGTTTTTTTTTTTTTTTTTTTTTTTTTTTTTTTTTTTTTACTCAAACTATTTTTTATTTATTTATTTATTTTTTAAAAGATTTCAGTACTCCTTTACATTTTTGTCTGGCATATCTGTGTAATTGTATCAGTTTTAATAGGATGGTTGCATTCTGTTTGAAGCAAGAGCCTTCCTAAACAATAACAACCTTTCTGATTAATAAGTTATGCCTTAACATCACAATGCAGAGTGACAGCACTGGCAAACTGGGCTTCGAAGAGTTCAAATACTTGTGGAATAACATTAAGAAGTGGCAGGTGAGCTGCTCATATGATGCAATGTATTACTCTTTATAAAATATAAAGGCAATAGGGTTCGCCAGGCTGTACATTGACCAACTAGGTATGAATGTATAATTTGCTGAACTCCAAAGTAAATTCATTTTTAAAAATCAGATGCAGTATATATTTCATGAAAGGTCAGAGCTCAAATATTGTAAAATGATGAAAGAAACATACTGACAGGTGGAGACTGGGAGGCTGGGATATGATAGTCAAGTAAATAAAGGAGTTGTATGGGGTTCATAAATAACACTGTTCAACAGGTAAAATGTTTTGGGCATAAAATTAGCTAATCTTACATAATTTTGGGGTGCTGAAAACGAAAATGACCCTAAAAAATGTTGATTGGCTCTAGTTTCCATGATATATTCGCCCATCTAATGACGTAAGCCATTCAAAATTATGATGCAACTTCAGCTGCATATTGCGCAATTGATACTGGTGACCAATAGAAAATTGCATGTATACTGAGATGATGCAATATTAGCCTTTAATTGCATCACTTCACTGCATAAAAGCTGCAGTATCTGTAGCTGATTGTAGTTCGACAGCGTCTTTACATTTCGTTTTATGCTCATATAGGCTACTCAGTAATGCCTCGAACTTGTGTGAATAAAGCAGATAATTTCTGCTATATCTGCGGTGAAATAACTTTTATCTCACAAAAAAGGAGGATAACAGGAATGATTAAGAAAGCCTACAACTTGTATTTTGGCTGCAAGATAGGAGACCAGGACAAGAGCTGGGCACCACATATATGCTGCAATTCTTGTGGGACGGCACTGGAGCAATGGTTGAATGGAAAAAAGGCATCTATGCCTTTCGCTGTGCCAATGATTTGGAGAGAGCCAACAGATCATGTAGTAATTGTTACTTTTGTATGGTGCCTCCAATTGTAAAAGGGCTAAATAAGAAGAAAAAGTTATCTGTGCACTATCCAAATATTCCATCGGCAATACGTCCAGTTCCTCATGGAGAGGGGCTACCAATTCCTAAAGCACCAGAATCCTTCGTGGTTGAGTCAAGTGAGGAAGAACCTGAAGCGTGTAGTCACGTGCAGTTGTAAGAGATAGCCCTTTCCTCGAATACAAGAGAAAAGCCAAGAGAAGCAAAACCGACACACACTGAAGACAAAACTAGTGAGAATCCTAAGTATTAAAATGATTCAACTTGGCTTATGGCTATAATTTTTCTTGGTAATCCTATGCAATATATTATGCCATTTAGGCTTTGTTATGTAGTCAATATCACTTGCTTTATATTTGTGGAAAGACATCTATCTATATAATTATTGTGCATTATGTAGTCATTACGCCTATAGTAGAAAACTTTCCGTTTACAGAAAAACTAGAGCCAATTGACAAATTTCATTGTTATATTTGAACTCAGAATGTGAAATTCATTAAGAAATGGATCCTTTTGTTTCCAAAACTGGCAAAAAATAAAAATTTGTTGAACAGTGTAATCAAACCTACATACATCTTTGCTGCAGCTGTCGGTTCTAAGCCTGAAAACATGACTACTGTCAGTCATCACTCTCTGGTGTGCTCCTCTAGAGCTCACTGGAGCACCAGGGTGGAGGGGGGGTGGGAGCAGCTGTCTCAGGCTCTCAGCCGCACACTGAAAGCCAGAGCTAGCTGTTATTGAGTCAACTGGGTGGATCTCGACAATATTGTCGTGATACTTCTAGAGCGGCTCTGCCATGTCAGCTGACAGCAGGCAGTAGCTCACTATAAGCTGACTGTGGGTCACAGGAGAGCAAAAGTAAGTGCACTTCTGTGATGCAGAAGAGAAGTATTGCCCAAACTGCTTTTATATGAAATATTGTACATTTTATGGGCATGTAGTCCTCAATTTAGGAGGTGGAACTCTAGGCTCTGTTTCCCCTCAATAATATGATTACTTCTCATCTGCGCTGTAAAAAGCCCAACCTGTACAGAACAGCATTCAGGGCTGTGACACATCCCTTTAAAAGGTTCAGTAGGTTGGTTTTTAATCAGAGGGAGATACAAAGCAAGCAGCTTTTGCTCTGCTGTCTCTTTGAGCAACCCGTTATTATCTGGGAATGGATGTTAAAGATTTACTTGTTAAACTTTTTTTTACCATTTCTAGAAGGCTTAATTCTAAACATGATTAAAAATGAAATAAATGTGACACACATTGATGCAAAAACTGACATAGTTTACCTTTTAGCTACTGTGTACATCTTTTTTGAAGAAAGTGAAAGTTTTGGAATTTTTGAATATATTTTTTTTGTTAAAATGGATATTTTCACTGCAGTTTTTTCAGAGAAACCTTCCCTTTTAGCTAGTGTTAAGCCTATGGCATATAGGACATTCCACCTATGTACCTCTGTTCCATATTGGTCCTCCTTCCCCACCTAATGCAAAGCATCCCATGCGATACAAATCACATGTATAGAGCAATGCCAGATCACTGTTTATTGTAACTTTCCAATGTTTACTAACGTGTTTTTGTTTTTTTTTCAGGCTATATATAAAAGATATGATGCTGACCGCTCAGGAACAATTGGCAGTGCTGAACTTCCCAATGCTTTCCAAGCAGCTGGTAAGTAAACTTGGTGAGCACTTTTAAAGGTAACAGATGTCTGGTATGTAACTATCTTGGCTCCAGATGATGAACTTGGATCATCGATTTGTAGCAATGTTTCTTCATCCTACTCCAGGGGGGCAAATGCCTATACTTGAGTTTCTTAATAAACCCATATACACCCTAATCTATATATGAGGTTATAATTCTCAAACTAAATAACCGACCTCTGCCCTTTATGTCCAAAGTTGAAAAACCACTATACTTGATTCCAGCTTTGTTCCTTTCTCAGAAAACTTCCCCCATCTACTCATCTATAAAGAATGGGGGGGGGGGGGGGTTGTAGTTGGCAGAGGATCTGTAGGCAGGGCTGACAACACTTCTTTGGGATGTCTGTGTACCTGATGCACGGTTGTTGGATTCCTACAAGAAGTTAGGTGCTCACTGGATTTCTGGCAGATCAGCAAGTATTTTTCTGTACTTGCAGGGTCTTGAATAGGAATAAAGCACGGGGAAAGGTGTATGTATTGCAGAGATGTACTGCATAGGTTTTATTTGTTAACCCATACAAACAATGTAACAACTGGCCATTAATTGCATAATCTGATCTTGGGACAAAATTTATTTCATATATGACAAAGCTCTGAGCCCGAGCTTTGTATGAAAGAACAAATCCCCTGTAGACATGCATGTTCCTCCCTGCTGGCCTGTAGCAGAATGACCACAGGAGTGAATGTATTGCACTACTGCTCCTTTATTGTCCAGTCAGCAGGCTGGCTGTGTTTTTGACCAAGCTATGGTGTCACTGCAGTGGAGGCCAAGGATGTTAGTGTGTTGTTTGGTGGGGGTGAAATGATTTTGTCACACACACACACACACACACGTGTGATCATTGTAAAATCATTGCATAATATACTGTACATATATAAATCTATTTTATTTTAGGTTTCCAGTTAAGTGGTGAGCTGTTTCAGATGATCATTCGACGTTATTCTGATGAGAAAGGAGAAATGGATTTTGATAACTACATCTGCTGTCTGGTGCGACTAGATGCCATGTTCCGTAAGTGATTAAAATGTACTGTTCTTCCTGAATCTGTTTGTTTATACCTCAAACCTGCAAGAAATGGTATTCCGCTTCTGCTATTCCCTTTTAAAGAGAACCAGTCTTTGATGTACTAAATAAGGGCATGCCATTTTTTTAGTGCACTGTTTACCAAAATTGGCACTCAAGTCATTGTTTTAGCACAGCTCCCTGCATTCTACAATTCAAAGTGTGTAGCTCTCCATGAGTCTTCTCTGCTTTGCATTGTACGATTCCAGAGAAAAAGTGGCTTTTACAAGAACCAGGGGGCCCCTGGGGTGTGTTCACTTGAATAGGTTGTATCCTCGGCGGTGGTACTGACATCCCAAATGCTACTGGGGGTTCATTTTTGCCATGTACAGCCCTGAGCAGCTGCATGCCCTTGTTTAGGTGTGTGGTGGGCAGTAAATATGCAGCTCAGTTGTGTAATTTTACTGCCCCGTGACCGCCGTGTGAATGAGCCCTGGTAAAGATAAAGAATAAAAATAAATATTAGCTTTAACACACTGTACAGGAAATAATCTAAGCTTCCCACTCCTTTATATTGGCACAGGAAAGTAGCAAAAATGGGTGGCCCCACATTAACAGAGCAAATCGACCTGTTTCAGGTCTGCCTCCTCCACCAGCACTCCGTGTTCGGGAAAATATGTCCATGCATGTGTAATTATGAGTACAGGTGTTTATACAAGATTACAGGAACACAGTGTGTATTTTAATATATTATGGGCAAAAATATGCATCAGCAGGGTCTCTTGGGTGCTGTAAATACAGGCGTATCATTTTCTTTACAGCCATATGCGTGTATTTACGTTCATGTGCATGTAGCATAATAGTATGTGTTGTGGGTTGGGTGTCTTTGTTCACCACGTATGTGCATGTCCTGTACAGCAATATAACTGGTTCTGTATGTCTCCTTCTCTTTCACTGAAAGCTCAAGCCATAGATCTCTATGACCGTCTCTGGGTGTGACACTGAGCAAAGGTGTTCTGGCTATGGTTGAGTATAGCCTGGAACACTATACATTCTCTGTGGCTTTTTCTGCAATTATTTTCCCATTGGTCATTAACCTCTTCACGCCAGCAGCACGCAAATGTCCGGCGTCTGGGCCTAGACGCCGTGCGGCAGCACACTTCCGTTTAATATACAAAATACATATGTGCTGAGAGCGTGCGCTGTGCGTGCTCCCAGCACACATGTACGGTACTCACCGAAAGGTTCTCTCTTGCGATCGGGACCTTTCCTGATCATGTGACTGACGTGACGTCATGGCGGTCACATGACACTAAGCAATGCCCTGTCCTGCCCACCTCCCGGCGCAGAAACTCCTCTTCATGCCGGGACGATCCAGCGTGAAGTGGTTAATACAGGTAGATGATTCCTTTAAGGCATGTGGTGTGAGTTTATACCTCCTTGGGGTAGTTAAAATAGTAATAAGCGCAGAAGTTTAAAAAAAAAACAATTCTCTCTGCAAGTAAGTTTTATAATGTGCTAGTGTGCATCGCATAATAACACATTATAAAAGACTTGTCTAAAAACAAAGCCTTCCAACTGCACACTGTCACTGCTGACAGGACTTCCATCTTCATCCAGTCTTCCTTGCTGGTTCGCAGGCTCCAGCCATTTGAATGTCTTAGACGCGATGACGTTACTCTCTCACACCCATGGCACAGCGCTGGCATACCGTCCATTGAGAGCGCAGTGCACATGTGTTGATGACATCACTGGCTGCAGAACTAGTCAATATCTTCTAAGCAGCGAACATTTAGGAGGTGTTCCTTGTACTTACAGGTAAGCTGTATTAGAAGCTTACTTGTAGATACAAGTCACTAAGGGAACGTTACTATCACTTTAAAGAATATGTCAGCCCAAAATATTGTGCCTGCTGTACCATGTACTTGTATGAAAAAGTATCCTCTTCTCTTTTGTATTGCTTCCTTTATGTGATATCCCTGGTGTTCCTGCTAGTCCCTCTGCTGTCCAATAAAAACTGACCACACTAGGCTAGCTGCTAACGTGGCCCCCCTGCACAGTCATTCACTGGAAATATCAGTGTGCTGCTTTCTCTCCTTGCCTTTTTTAGTTTCTATTTTCAACTAAATGGGTTGGTTTACAAGGTGAGGGTTCACATGTGCTTTAAAGTGATATTGAAGGTTCAGGGTTTTTTTTTTTTTTTTTTTTTTTTCTAAATAACAAACATGTTATACTTACCTGCTCTGTGCAGTGGTTTTGCAGAGAGCAGCCCTGATCCTCCTTTTCTTGGGTCCCCCATTGGAACTCCTGGCTCCTCCGCTTGACCAGTGCCCCCCAATAGCAAGCCTTTTGCTATGGGGGCACTGGTGCGTGCTTGCTCCCGAGCCTCACCCTATGCATCCATAAGACACACACAGCTGCAGCTTGACACCCCCCCACGGGTGTTCATATGGTGCATATAATGGGTGCGCTGGTGTGGGTCACCAACTGAATAGACTTTTTTTTTTTTTTTTTTTTTTTAAGTTTATTGAAAGTTAACCAAAAACACTTAATTCTACTCTGGTTTCCTCCCACACTCCATAGACATGCTGGTAGGTTAATTTGGCACTTCTCTAAAAAAGTCAAACCCCTAAAGTGGTTGTATAGGCTCAAGGTATGCATTCTATGCTTGACGGTAAAGATCCTTCGGTGTGCTGCTCCCCCACAACCCCTCCCTTATACTCACGTGAGCTCCATCTTCATCCAGCGATGTGCACAGGAGCCTCAGCTGTCCTGGGTCTCTCTCTCCTTAGCTGAGACACAGCAGTGGGAGTCATTGGATCTCACTGCTGTCAATCACAGCCATTGAGAGAGTGGGAGTCTGGGCTGAGCCGCAGATCTATGTGTCTTATGGACGCATAGAGCAGCGCTCAGGAGCAAGCACGCACCAGTGACCCCATAGCAAGTGGCTTGCTATGGGGGGCACTGGTCAAGGGGGATGAGCCAGGAGTGCCAGCAGGGGACCCAAGAAGAGGAGGATCAGGGCTGCTCTGTGCAAAACCGCTGCAAAGAGTAGGGAAGAACCCTTTAATATTACTTTAAGTCAACTCTTTGCGCAGGAGTGTGTTGCTGTGCATTGTAACATGTTGTGTGTTGCGCTTGCATAACAGCACTTAATTTTGTTTTTTCAATGCATACCAGTGCATTTGTATGATGTGAAAATCTTCTGAATTCACATTGATGTGTTAAAGCTTCTATTTACTTTTAGTGATTGGGTTTAGATCTACTGTTCATGGTTCACCTTGGTTTTGCAGGCGCTTTTAAAGCCTTGGATAAAGACGGGGATGGGAGGATTAAAGTGAACATTCAAGAGGTGAGTGTGTGTGGCTGTCATCCGATATTTGGTGTGCTGTTGTATTTCTCTGTCCTCACTGTCTTATTATCGGACTCTTTCAGTGGCTGCAGCTAACCATGTACTCATGAGAGGGAACGGGATCTGCCGTCTGGAGCTGTGAAAAAAAAAAAGAAACTTTTCTCCCTTCTGTCCTCGCTGTATACAGGCCTGATTTTTATACACTGTACTGTGCTCAGTACATCTCCCTCCTTTGTAAACTTCAGTATCAGAAATTGTACACTTTGATATTGGATCACCGTAGCTGGGTTCACGAGGATGTGTGGATCCTAGATGGCTGGCACAATTTTCTGTGTGATGCTTTTTGCTGTGTCGAGTATATGCGCTGGAATGCAAAGACAATGATATTAAAGTACCGATTTAATGAACTGAGTCGTGTATTCACTTACATGTCTTTTTCTTTAGAAATGTTGTATTTCCATCCTCCCAGCCAAATTTGAGAAAACCCCACTTACCGTATTTTTCGCCGTATAAGACGCACCTGACCATAAGACGCACCTAGGTTTTAGAGGCAGAAAACAGGAAAAAAAAAATTCTGAACTAATGGACTGCAGACACAGTACAGGAGATGACCAGAGACTGCGGACAGCACAGGGATGACCAGAGACTGCGGACAGCACAGGGATGACCAGAGACTGCGGACAGCACAGGGATGACCAGAGACTGCGGACAGCACAGGGATGACCAGAGACTGCGGACAGCACAGGGATGACCAGAGACTGCGGACAGCACAGATGACTGCTGACCTTTGGGGAAGTGGGGAGCGGGTACCTGAATTTGACAGGTACCCGATCGTACCTGTTCCTCGATCCAGCAGCGCGCTGTCTTCCCGGCTTCTGTAATGGCGCTCGGCATGACAGCCGGGTGCCCAGTGCGCATGAGCGAGAAGCACTTGCACTTTGTGATTGGTCCGGCGGCTTCTGGGATCTGTCATGTGTCCCAGGTGCCGCCTTACCATTCACAAAGCGCACCGCTTCTTGCGCATGCGCACTTGGCACCCGGCTGTCATGCCCAGCGCCCACACTACAGAAGCCGGGAAGACAGCACGCCGCTGGATAGAGGAACAGGTAAGGTCCCGCTGCAGAGCTGAGCGGCCGGGCCAGGTATTCTGACACGGCCGCGGTGGAAATACCGGACCGGCCGCTCCATATTCGCCTTATAAGACGCACTGACATTTCCCCCCCAGTTTTGAGGAAGAAAAAGTGCTTCTTATACGGCGAAAAATACGGTATGTTCATGTGTTCCCATTCTCAGAGGAAGTTAAAAAAAAAAAAAAAAATCCTTACCTTTCTATTTGTTTCTTTGGAGCAGGACTATACATTGGAATCTTTAACCAATCTGACCATAAAGTATTTCCGAACAATAAAAGTTGCCTAAAAATTCATTAATATACATTAAAGTGGAACTTTAGTCTCTCAATCAACATTGACTGTTTTAATCGTTATACTGCTAGCATTAGTAAATAGGAATATATATCATATTTACTTGTTTTAAACCTTTTTTTTTTAATTTATTCAGTTACTTCCTTGTTCACATGCCTAGGCAAATGATGTCATACATCCCAGCAATCTTCAGAAGGGTAGGGAGGGTTCTCAGCTGTGCCAAAGCCTGAGCTAAGGGCAGATGGATTTCAGGAAGTAAATGCTACATGAATCATCTGCCCATACTCAAGATGGCCACTGCCAGAAATGCCAGAGGGTGTTTTTCAAAGTTATTTCTCAGCAAAATAAGCATGGAGACATAAATGAATTGGGGAGTTTGCTTTGAATATTACCCTCTCTAGCGGTATGATTATGTCAGTATTTCTGTGCTCAAAGCGGTACATTGTTTTCAATGGAAATATGTTTTTTTTTTTTAATTGTAGACCTGTAATTCTTAGGAATAACTCTGTCCGAGCAAGAGTCTAGTAAACATCCCAGGTATGATAAAAATTTGAAACACAAAATCATAAATTATAATAGAATAAATCATTAAAAATAATATAATAATAATAATACATTTTATTCAATAATATAATCAAACCAAAAACACTGAAATTTGAAATAGAACACCAAGTTCGCACATCACTGAACTAAGTTGCAAAATCGTTTTCAGTTTCTGATGAATTTCCCAAAAGAAATCATTATCACTCAATTCTGCAAGTGGTTCTAATTTACTATCGCTCTTCTCTAGCTGGTCTAAAACCGATTTTGACCTAAAGGGACGCTTTTTGGACGCCATGGACATTTCCCAGTTTCCAGGCAGAAAGAACAGTAAAAATGCAGGCAGGGCACAGGACGAAGCACTCGGGACAAAATGTATGTGAAATGGTTTCACACAGTAATGTAATACTAACAGATTTTAGTGTATTATGTGTGTGTAAAATTTTGACATTTTTGAATCTTCTGCCTCTTCCATCCCCCATACGTCCCAACGCTCGCAGGGAATGGAACCCGGAAGACGATGCCGGCATTGGCCTGGGACGCAGCGGAAGGACAGCGTGGGACAGGTTAAGTGCTGGAGAGATCCCAGAGCAACGCTGCAGTGTAATCCCAAGTGTAGCTCGGGGTTACCGCTTCTGGTACTGAAACTTAACTTCGAGCTACACTCGGGAATGGGTTAAACAATGAATTAGCATTTTTGGTTTGTGGTGCTCAGATGCAGTGCAGTTCCACTTTAAGGGGAATTTAGTAAAACCAGAGCAGCTGTGCATTGTAACCAATCGGCTTCCAGCTTTCATCTTCAAGACCTAACTGAACAGGTGGATGTTAAAAGCTGATTGGTTACTGTGCACACTCCAAATTTTGTTTATTATTATTATACAGGATTTACATAGCGCCAACAGTTTGCTCAGCGCTTTACAATATAATGGGAGACAATACAGTTCAATACAAGAGGGATAGGAGGGCCCTGTTCCTCGGAGCTTACAATCTAGGACCTTTTTCTGTTAACTCCAATGGAAAAAAAAGGGCATCCAAGAGGCGCTGGGACTTTGATATGAGTTAAAACATGCTGGTGAGAGGACAAAAAACATTTGAAGAGCCCACTGGCTCAGGTTAGGCTGCTCTTCAGTGGGTATCCAAGCAGGTCACCAGAAAACAAGTGCATATATGGAAGGAGCACCAGACCAACAGATAAGTGTCCACATTAACTTATTGATATTGTGTTAGAAGCCAGCAATGCATTTTGGGGGGTCAAAGGAAGCTTCCTATTTTGACTTCTGATGCAGATGCAGAAACTGCTGGCCAGGAATCCTAATCCAGCATTCAACTGCAGAGATTGAGGAATCGAACATTGCATACAGGGGCGGACTGACTACTCATGGGGCCCCCGGGCAATAGGGGATCATCGGGCCCCTGTGTCCTTGCCCAAACTCAAAAAAGCCTATGAAAAGGTACCAGGGGAATCTCGTGGGGCCCCCTACTGACCCCGGGCCCTCGGGCAGTGCCGAGTTTCCAAATGGTCAGTCCGCCCCTGATTGCATACGTATGGTGGACCAGGAAGTCCCTCTGTTTTAATCTACAGATACAAAGGATAAACAGCGACAATGGACAGAATTCCTGCACATATTTTACTATGAAAAATGATTAATAATGAGCATGACCAAACCGTTACTAAAGTCAGATACATCAAAAAGTATGAAGAAAGAATGAGAGAAAAAAAAAGTTACGTAAAAGAGGGCCAGCCATGGTCCCGCTAAGGGACGGAGAGGTATTGAATCCACGGATCTCAAGTTCTGTCGAATTTTGACGTATTGTTATTAAGAATGCAGACGAGTTTGTCTTTAACCATGATCCAATTTAGTTTATTTTTAACATAGTGAAGTGGTATCACCGATCGTTTCCAATGTTTAGCAATAGTGATTCTTGCAGCCAGGATCATATAAAGGATCAATTTGGTTGATTCTTTTGGGGGATTCCTGAAGGTAACTTCTGAAAAAGGGCCATCTCTGGGGACCTACAAATATTCACTCCTGTCAATGAGCAAGTTAAACATTCGGATCCAAAATCTAGACACCGCAGGGCAAGCAGATGTGGCACTATATATGCACATTTTTTTCCATATTCTGTTAACTCCAGTTTTAGTGTTTTCCCCAACGTATCACCCAAACCCTGAAATCTTTAGCCTTTTGTTATGACACAGGTGTCCGTTTTATGAACCAGCAGTAATAGATCGCTGCTCAGTTCTCCAGCATTCTCGGAGAACACAGTTCTCCTGTGAATGCCATTTATGAAGCATATGTAGATCAGTTCTCCAAACAAAGGGAGAACGGTCTACAAACGCTGGAAAACGGCTGATTTTACTATAATCTCGTGAGATTACAGTAAAAGATCAGTTTACTAAGCAGAGGTAAATTATCTCTGCTTAGTTTTCGGTCCCTCCGATTCTCCAGCTCTGGGCTGGAGAATCTGGAGGGAGAACACAGATCTCCAGAGAAGGGCTGACATGATCTCCTGGGTGTCATAATCTGTGAATGACCAGAGAATAGCTGTGATCCTCTGAATCTCAGCTATTCTGTGTGTCATAAACGGACACCACAGTATGGGAAATCTAGTGATGATATGCCAGCACAATATAGACAGGGTTAATTATGGTAAACATTACCTCCTCAGCCCCCACCTTAACCACTTCAATACTGGGCACTTATACCCCCTACCTGGCCCCAGGCCAATTTTCAGCTTTCAGCGCTGTCACACTTTGAATGACAATTGCGCAGTCATGCAACACTGTACCCATATGACATTTTTATAATTTTTTTTTCCCCTACCGTCTTTCAGGCCAGCACTCTGAGAGACCTCGGCTCCTCCCCATCTGAGGAAACACCTCCACCTACAATAAAAAAGCTCCACTCCCCTCTGACCTCAGTTCAGGTGTTTCCTCCGGTGGGGAGACACGAGGAGGCGCAGGAGGACGATAGGGGAGCCGAGGGCCGGATAGCCGGCTGTGAGGCCCGACGCAGCCGGGAGTGAAGGCCGGAGTGTCCGGCTGCATATCCTCCCAGGGCAGGCTGCCAGCAGTGAGAGTGCATCCCGGGGGACGGGACAGGGCACTTACCTGCTCTTCGCCCCCCGACCCCCTCCGGCGAGGGGGG